GGGTCTTATCTAAAAAAAATATAAAAAAAAAAAAAATATATATATATACACTTTTTAACTACAAATGCTCGTCTTGCAATAGCTCGACTTCACGCATGTAATCATGTTGGAAAGGTCATGCATGACATAGGCGGAAGTAGTGTTTACAAAGCGAATGTGCAGAGAAAGTCAAACGCCCTTTACAAAAAAAAAATATAAATAAAAGCTAAAACAACGATGTCGGACGATTTTGAAGTTTTTTGCCCTACCTTAAAGGGCTCTTCACGATCCCAGCCGAGGAATAGGGGTCTTATCTAAAAAAATTAAAAAAAAAAAAATATATATATATATACACTTTTTACCTACAAATGCTCGTCTTGCAATAGCTCGACTTCACGCATGTAATCATGTTGGAAAGGTCATGCATGACATAGGCGGAAGTAGTGTTTACAAAGCGAATGTGCAGAGAAAGTCAAACGCCCTTTACAAAAAAAAAATATAAATAAAAGCTAAAACAACGATGTCGGACGATTTTGAAGTTTTTTGCCCTACCTTAACTGTTTGAACCTGAGTACACAGACGAAGATTCGCGTGACCTTTCCAACGTGATTACGTAATGCGTGAAGTCATAAATGCGCATCACGGAGCTAGTGCAAGACGTGCATTTGTGGTTAAAAGGTAGCTATAGACATTTTTTTTTTTTTTTTTAAAATTACCTATTTGCTAGATAATACCCTAAGCATGAGGGGTGATGCCTCGTGAGTCGTAAAGCTCTGAAGTTTCTCCTTGTTTGCACTACAACATGATTAAGATAATACATTAAAATAATATGGTAAGAAATAATGTGTCGTTTTCATTCATTAATCTTCAGTTTTTAAATTACTTTGGTGTCAAAAGTAATTCTTAAGATTGTAACATAATAACATCCACAAATTGGTAGAAAATACATTTCTATAGTTTGGCAGAAGAACACTTGAGCGTCACTCTGGATGTTCGTCTTCCTCTCTGATCAGCTCAGTCTGATAAACCTGCTGCATCCTGGAAATCTCTCCATACAGAAATAAAGCAGATTCAACAAGAATAAATTATGAAATGAAAATAAAAATGTGCTAATTGAAAATTAACAGAGGTTTAGATGTTGTTTTTGAACACTACCATGATGGAGATCAGTGTTTGCTTTAGTTAGGATCTTGAACCTTGATTTTTAACATTGTTTTTATTTGGCTGCTTTAACTATTGTGGTTTTCAACATTTTTGTTGTGGTAAGGAAAGACTAAAGCACAATATGTAATGCTGATGGTTATGATTCGCACATGGCATTTGCACCTTTAAAAACCAGTCCACTGTTTTTGTACCAAAGTGATATTATGGTAACGTATTACAGCAGAAGAACAAACAGGCTATTATGAAAGATAAGACACATTAAGCAAAAAACGAGACCATAACATGCTATGAAACACACATATGAAGAATCAGCGTATGAATCTCAACAATGGTGGCAATCAAAAAAAATTAATAAACAGATCAACTCTGAAAATCATAAAACACGCTACTAAAACTCAACACAAAAACAAAAGCAAAAATAAAAGCACCTAGTAAGAATCAAAGGAAATAAGTGGACAATTCAGCTGCATAATTTATTCATGCCGCAATGCATGCTGGGAGTCATGGATGAGTTTTGTCCTGTGCTGGTACCCAGCATGCATTGCAGCATGAAGCTTTTGATTGTCACCATTGTTGGGATTCATGTGCTGATTCTTCATGTCTCTGTGTGTCCAAGAGATGCAGTAGTTTTTAAGGCAATGAACATAAGTAATTTTCAAAATCCATCATAATTGTTTATCATCTCAGCTTGCAGCATCATATAGCTGTCTTAAATAACACGAAATAAGTTAAATCCCACACCATTGTTTTAACCATCAGCCCCTGAACAAGATCAGTGAATCAGGCCGCATGATGATTATTATACCATCATCAATAAATAACCAGAACCATTCAATCATAATCTGTCTACGCTTTTATTGCTATAACAGATGTGCTTTACAAACACAGTTACAACAAGCTAGCATTATAAAGTGAAGGGTCAAGAGCCCAACTAAAGCAAACACTGATCGCCATGATGGTGAGGTCAAACAAAACGTGTTCAATAAAACATCTAAACCTCTGTTAATTCTCAAATAGTTTTTGTAGATATATGACAGAAATAAAGTCAAACTGTAATGCTGTGAGTGGAGTTGTTTGATCGTGTGCTGCTGTCTTATTCAGTTGATATCATCTAAGGCTGTGGCTGAAGTCAGTTGTAGTTCTTGTGTTTCTCTTTTCTGTTCATCACTGGCTGAATTCACTCATCAGTGTTCGTTCTCTCTGTCAGGTGGACTGTATTAATAAACTCATGTAGGGAATAGTGAATGAGGGTGTAGGGTGTGATTTGAAACACAGCCTCTGAGTGTCGAATCTGAACGTTGTTACTACAAGGACTGCAGAAGGATACTTTCTCGAAAATAACAAATATTACCCAGAATACGTTGTTTTTTTACGGGATTGTACTGTTGTAATGAAAAAACAGGATGTTACTGTCAGAGTATGGCTGTTTTTTTACAGCAATTTTTTACAGTGTAGTTTTTTGCCTCTTATTCTGATTCCTCATGGCATGTAAACACAATAACCCGCTTTCTGTCGGCTTATTGAAGTGCGTGCTAGTGCAGATTTAAGCGCATCTAGACCGAGCAAACATCTTGCAGTAAAGAAAGAAAAAAAATCACAAAAGCAGACTTTTTCATGACTCAGAAAATGATAAAAATGTGTTCTCATCTCATGCAGCAGAAGTAGAAGTGGTTCAGTCACAATACTGCGTTTATAACTGCATGAGAGGATAATATATGAGCTGTAAGTTTCCCGACATGTTGCAAGTTTACATGTTGCAAGCTTAATTTAACATCACAACTGACAAATGTATGGAATACTCAGAGTCTGGTATTGAAAATATATATTTTTTGACGTCACTACAGGGAAATAACCTGATTTATTAATGAAGTCATGTAAGCGCAGCTTACTTGCATTGTTAGGTTACTGATGTGCATGTAAATGGGGAAAACTGGTTATTTTAATAAGCTGATATTTGTGAGTTATCAGCTTACTGGTGTGCATGTAAACATGCTCATTGACTGTCAAAAAGAGGGATTTGACATCTTTGGAGCAGTATCCCCAGTATCCCCAAGCACCTTTTTTGTGAGGTTTAACATGATCATCCCATCCTCAGCTCCAGTAGAGCATTTATTTTCCTTTGCTGGACTGATCAGCCGGCCCCATCGGCGATGCCTAAATGCTACACTTTTTGAAAAACTTGTGCTTAAAGGCATCAGTAGCTAAAGAGACCTCTGCAATGTAGTCCACAGGCTACACACACACTCATTCAATACACCCCCTCACACACACACACACACGCACACACACAAAACTTACTTTCTCACCCACATTCACACATAAGTTTGACTGTTTCTGTTAGAACGTTTCAAATGTTTTGGAATACCTGCTCTGTAGTATTCTCTTTTGGATTAAAGTAAATGTTCTTACTACACTATTAATGTGTATGTGTCCTCTATACTTCTATGGCTCTCAATAGATTCAGTGGTTGGAGTTGGGTTAATACTCCTTGACAAGTTCTGTTGCTACATTCTTCATCTGGGAGATCGCAGGGATATGTGAATATTTGATCTGTTAACTGGTTGCATATGTCAGATTTATTGCATGACTCGGGCAGAGTTAAGCTGTTGCTATCAAACACTGTTTACTTAATCAACTGAGTCAGTGTAATGGTGAAGGGATAGATCAAATAGGCCAATTGATGGAAGGTTTGCGAAGAAATGTCATGCTCCCTTGTAAAAGTATTTTGTAGTATTTTTAAAATACAAAAATACAGTAGTTTATTTTGATACATGGTGTGGCTGCTGTATTTTGTAGTTTATTTTGATACACTTAAAATTAAGGTATTTGGTATTTTATTTTAAAATACATTTTGATGTATCTTTGCCCAACCCTGAAACCAGGGATGTGAAAGTGTGTGAAAAATGATCTGACATGTTTTTGACAGCCTCTCTTCACAATATTACACTGTTTAATCAATCAAGCAAGCATCTTTGAAATAGCACCTTACGAATTATAACTAAAATGTTGTTGCAACCGTTTAACACCATTAAACACGAAAGACAATGTTTCTTTTCTATCACATCAATCTAACCCTCAGGTAGATAAATAATAATAATGAAATAGTAATAAAAATAAAAACAAAGACGCAGTTCAATATGATAATGATGGTTCTCGACCATTTTATTCATAGAGAAAGCAATTCAACTCAGAAATTAGTTTAACAGACACTCAAAATCAGAATAATAGGAAGAATCAGTGACACTTTTAGATTCTTAATAATGATTCCATAAAACAAGGACAAGCATGACAAGTATAAGGATGAACTCTATTTCTCACAAATCCCTTTTTTCTTCTCAGAGCATGAGTGATCATTCCAGTTGTTCAGGACTGGATCTGAAGGTCTCATTTCAATACAGTCCTCGCTTTTACCACGATAGTTATTTGGCTCACCTTCAGCCCAAAACCTGTATAAAATGTGTCAGTTTTCACCCATTTAGCAACTAAATGAGGATTGTCACAAGCAATTAATTAATTAAGATAACATGCAGTAGCAGAATTCAAGAAGAAACTAAAATAGTACAGAAGCAGAATTTAAAATTCAAGAAATGTAGAAAGTAAAATAAGAATAAAAAGCTTAAACAAGTAAATCTTCAGTGGTTTTCTGTGAGTGTTTTAGCTCTTACCCTTGTTTCATTGGTGAATTATCATATTAATATAGAGCTGCTTGTGTTGGAGCAAAACATGAACACATCATAGATTGTGTGTCCCAGATCACCCGAATTCACACCATGAGAAACAGAAGATTATTATAGCAATAAGAACATAATTACATTTTTACATTGTCCTGCTAACAAATTTCAGATCAGCTAACAGTGTTTTAAAAAGGCAGGGACCTCGATTAGAACTTATGTGTTTACAATAAGAATGATTATATTAGATAACAGAAGCAAAACCTCAAGACGGGATGAACCCTATTTCTCACAAATCCCCTTTTTCTTCTCAGAGCATGGCACATCATTCCAGCTGTTCAGCGGTGACCATCCTGTCTCCTCTCTTTTAAAATTCAGTTCAATACAGTCCTCATTTCCACCGTAGTTGTTTGGCTCACTTTTGCGCCAAAACCTGAACAACATGTATCAGAGGTTCAGTTTTTCAGAAACACAAATTTATGAATCAACAATACTCAGAATAATTGCACGTTTCGAGAGTAAACTAAAGTAGTACAGAAGCTGGAGCAGAAGAAAGTAAAAGAGAGAAGAAGAGTTTTCTTTACAGTATTTAAAATGTCTTTAATTGTGGTTGTGTTGTTTGTGGAAGAGTTTTCTCTTCTGCTGTTTTCTGAAGGTTGTGATTTTATAATGAGAATCAAAAAGACTAAAACAAATGACCACACAGTGATTTTTAGCTCTTACCCTTGATTCAGTGGTGAATTATCCACCCATTTCATGATGCCCTCGATCTCTGTGTCAGACAAACCAATCCACACTCTCTCTTTGATAAATGAAGATATGTGCCTCTGTGTGTGATAATAAAAACAGGAATAAGTGTGATTCTCTCATTCATTAACAGACACTCACACAAACTCACCTGCTTCTCTTCAGTGTTGATAATGACCAGATCAGCACCACGATCCCTGCAGTACTGTCTGCTGTCAGACCAGCTCTTCAACTCAGAGGACTTGAAAAAACAAACTGGGCCCTTCTTATTCAAAAAGTCGAAATTTCTCTGTAACTGGTCTTTCTCAGCAGTGAGATATCTAACAGTTCTCATCTCCTAAATTAAACTTTCTTCTTACTGCAGCTTTGAGCTTTTCCTTCATAAGTGCAGTGTCTTTGAGATCCAGTTGTGTTCTTAACATTTCTGCATTTAGCATTATTATAAAAGACCTCTAATTCCATTTTTGTTCGTGCGTCTTGCAGTGGGTCTTTACAGAAGGGATGTGGTCTAAAACGACTGCTACGTTTGTTTTAATAGTGCTAAATATACAGAGGAAGTGATTTCATGGAACACTGACATTCGTGAAGATTATAGACTTCCAGTATGAAACTCCTCAGACCGAAACTAACATGTATTATGTATAATTACATGCAAGTAAAAACATAACGAGGATGAACCCTATTTCTCACAAATCCCTTTCCCCCCCACACACACTTAGCATTCCTGTTGTTCAGGTGTGAAGAAAAAATAATAATCTGGAATTGTTACAGTGCACTGTAAAATATGTAACAACAACATGTTAAAAAAGTAAATAAAATGATGACGGTAGAATGACATCAAAAAGATTTGCATACGCAGGGTAATATTTGTGGAAGTGTACATAAGACTGTAAGCGTAAATTAAATTTGTATGCGCAAGAGAAGCTTTGTAAAGGTGTAAATCGTGTTTCAAGCGCAAGAAAAAATTATTTGCAGCATTTTACTGTTATTCGTAAGTGTAATTCATGTATTGTGAAACTGCAGCTTCATGCTAACGCAAAATAAATATGATCTGCATGCTTCTGACTTCCATTTTTCTGCGCTTACACTTTTGGCACGTTTTTTTCGCGAAAAGACAGATTATACATTAAAATAATATGGTAAGAAATAATGTGTCGTTTTCATTCATTAATCTTCAGTTTTGAAATTATTTTGGTGTCAAAAGTAATTCTTAAGATTGTAACATAACATCCACAAATTGGTAGAAAATACATTTCTATAGTTTGGCAGAAGAACACTTGAGCGTCACTCTGGATGTTCGTCTTCCTCTCTGATCAGCTCAGTCTGATAAACCTGCTGCATCCTGGAAATCTCTCCATACAGAAATAAAGCAGATTCAACAAGAATAAATTATGAAATGAAAACAAAAATGCCACGTTTACTCTGGTAATGATGGTAATTGAACATTTTATTCAAACAGAAAACAATTCAACTCAAAAGCAGTTTCACAGACATGCAACATCAGAATAACAATCTGGACACTTCAGACTTCTGTAGTTTACTGTGATCGTCTCCTCAACACTTCAGACCAACAAATGAGACTCAAGATAACAGCTAAAATAAGATCATATTAATATAGAGCTGCTTGTGATGGAGCAAAACATGAACACATCAGAGGTTTTGCGTCCTGAATCCTCATCATGAGAAACAAAGGTTATTATAGCAATAAGAAAATAATGACATTTTGACATTTCACATCTAACAAGTTTAACATCAGTGTTTTATTTTTTTTTCTCATCAGCTGACAATGTTTCAAAAGGCAGGGATTCAATCAGAAATTATGTATTTACAAAAAGAATGAATAAATTCGATAATAGAAGCAAAACTATGATTTGAAGGTATCAGTTCAGTACAGTCCTCAATTCTGTCTGTGTCATTCAGGCTCACCTTCATGCCAAAATATGAACAACATGTTTATGATGTTTAATTATTCAGGATGACAAATTTATGAATCAACAATACTCACAGAATAACAAAATGTTTTGAGAATAAACTAATGTAGTACAGAAGCTGGAGCAGAAGTGAAAGTGCAGAACAGTATAAGAGAGAATAAAAGTTTTCTTATTATAATTTACAGTATTTGAAGTGTCTTAAGTTGTGGTTGTTGTGTGTTTGTGGAAGAGTTTTCTCTTCAGCTGTTATCTGGAGGTTGATTTTTAGCTTTTTCCCTCTATTCAGTAGATAATTAGCCACTCATTTCATGATGCTCTCGTTCTCTGTGTCAGACAAACCAATCCAGACTCTGTCCTTGATGAATGACGATATGAACCTCTGTGTGAATAAAAACAGGAATAAGTGTGATTCTCTCATTCATTAACAGACACTCACACAAACTCACCTGCTTCTCTTCAGAGTTGATAATGACCAGATCAGCACCACGATCCCTGCAGTACTGTCTGCTGTCAGACCAGCTCTTCAACTCAGAGGACATGAACAACCAACCTGAACCACACAGAAACATGCACTTTATAAAACGGTGTACATTAAAGATAAAAAAAGAACAACATAAAAAATGTATATACTGACCTCTTTTATATGTTTATTTCATCAGTTACTCACTTAGAGACCTGACTGCTTTCTAACTCAAGTTTATTTTGACTCAAAGAGTTAAAATCTCTCTGTAACTGGTCTTTCTCATCAGTGAGATCTTTGACTCTGGTCTCCAGCTCCAGGTTCTTCTGACTCAAAAAGCTGAAGATGTTCTGCAGTTGGTGTTTTTCAGTCATCAGATCAGTGTAACTGTCCTGTAAGCTGTTGATGGTTTGATTGAACTCTTCAGCTGTGTTCTTGTAACTCTTTATCAGGTCTCTCTCTGCTGTGATGGTGATGTGCTGCAGTATGATGAAGACCAGCAGAAGAACACAAATGAGCCCGAGACTCACTGTGATCCACACCAAACATCTACTTCCTCCTGACAAACACCACCAAAACACACACATATCAAAATGATAACTATACACACCAGAATATTTGAAATAATGTTTTAAATCAGCTTTTGTAAATAATTCACAGGCCTTTTTTTACATTTACATTTAGTCATTTAGCAGATGCTTTTATCCAAAGCGACTTACAAATGAATACAATAGTAGCAATCAAAACCAACAAAAGGGCATCAAATTATATTTACTGTTTGAATTTCTTTACATTACGCCCTTAAAGTGTGTACTCTTTTGGTGAAGAAAAAGTACACACCTTTGAGTTGTATAGTAGAAGAGTAAGCAAGCTTTGGGACATACTATTACGTCATACAATTGTGTCTTTGACGGACACTCTGCCGCACAGTTACACGCAGCCTGTCACTGTAAACCGGCCTGTCAATAATCTTGACACAGTTAACATCCTCCACATTTCATTTCATTTAAGTTCCTACCATACTGGAGAGAAAAGAAGTAGCTCGTTGATCTGCCAGCAGTGGATCTTTATGCAGAGAACTCTCCTCATATTTTTGCAGGATGATGCATTTAAAAGTTAATGACCAAATGGGTGTTTATAAAAGTTCACATTGTTGTTGCAGATAAAATATAATACAGATGACATTAAATAAAACATTTTACCAGGTTAAATGTTGATTATTAGTAACTTGAACCCCTTTATTTAAACCTCTTAAAACCGTTGGTTGCACACATTCGCCATGTTTTAGTTTTGTAACACTTTTTATTCTTCTTTGTTGTTCTGAATCGAATCCTTCTCCAAAGCGCAATGGATTGTGGGTAGTATTAGCCATCAGAGTGTGCACAGATCCACACTTCAAAAATCAACCTGAAATAGCATACCATCCGGGAAATTTTGGCATACTCTCTTCAACATACTATGCTTTGGAACACTTCTTCTAATCTCACCTACTATTTAAAATGGATAGTGTGAACACTGGGACTCAGGGTAACGCTCCTGTGTGGGTTGTTTGTCAAACAAAGTGGCGGATTCAGCATTATGATTGGTCAGATCGCCTGTCAGTCAAACTACTGGTGTACCTTCTTTTAATAAATTACAAGAAAATACAACAGGGTCTGCATTTTTTTACTTGGATTTCATTAACTAGCTGCGTAACAAGAGCATGACCAATTTAAGTTTATAGGACAACTAAACTATCAATTTAAACAAAAATTTACGGTCAACTACAGACACTGCATCCATCGATTCCGCCATGTTTCTCATTGACCCTAACTCGGAAACTCTGGGCGTAAAGAAAATTTTGTGTTTCCCACTCATAATAACGACTTTGTGGTGGCGTTCATGTGCGTTCAACTCGTAAATACGATCTATCCGACATGACTTGAATGCACCATATGTCACAACAGGGAAGAAAAGACTATCGCAGGTTACGTTTCATGCCAACTTTAAGCTAAATGTCAGAAAGTAACAACCATTGTTCATACACTAGAGGACGCTAAAGATCATTCTCACTCTGTATATTAATATACAGTGGACAGATTATTAGAGAACCTGTTTGTGTTCCCTCTCCTTCCTCCCTTTGTTCATCCTTCTCCATATCTCTTGTTTTGATCCATATCTCTTCCACATAGTTGTTGAGTTCAGTCCGCTAGGAAAACAGGATGCATCTGGGAAGAAGTTATTCTTCTCCCAGAACTCTCTTCCTGTATTTTATATAACACATATTCCTTTCTTATATGACGCACATATATAATGCATATTCCTATTGGATGAAAGGGGGTACACCATCCCTCACAATATGTCTATATATACTATTGCATGAGCCAATAAATTTGAAGAAAGGTATATTCAGATCTTGTGATCGGCCGTTACACTCTGGGGGACTGAGAATATTCTGGTGGCAACTGGAAATAACGGGACACATTTTTAACAAGGACATTTCACTTCAAACACTTTGAATCAGAAGACACTGGTGTTGGAAACAATATCCAATATCTAGAACTGTTGACAAATGCAGAGAGCCAAGGAGTTTTGACTTTTTTGTGTTTTTATTTTATTTTTTCTACAAAGAATGTAGGATATTCTAAACTTCCTTCAACCAGCTTGCTGATGTCGTTCCTCCTTGGCATTGTGTTAATACACACCTGAAGGCTCCAGACCAGCAAACTGCCAAAACTACTGCTTTTATAGAGCTGCTCACACTTGCTGATGATCAGTTAATCAAAGGTATTTGATTAGGGGTGCCTGACCGTTACTTACTCTCTTAATTTCTATTTTAACAGTAAGGGGGTCCTTAGTTTGTCACACATGGCTTTTCCATTTTGGCGTAATTTTTGTTAAATAAATAATGACACAGTGCTATATGTCATGTGTTGTTGTTAATCTGAGGTTTCATTTTCCAAATTTTAAGACCTGCTGAGGACCAGATGATTTTTTATTATGTTCTTATACAGAAAACCATGGAATTCAATATGGTGAACTTTTTTTTTCACATGACTGTATATCTATATCTATATATATATATATATCTATATATATCTATATCTATATATATCTATATATATCTATCTATATATATATATATATATAAAATAGTGAAGTAAACCCTTTCTGTTCAAGGATTATCAAGTGGTGTTGATACATTGATGACAGTTTTTTTTGTTTGTTTTTTTTTTTGGGGGGGGGGGGGGCATTTTTTT